TAATCGCCTTCGTAAATTTCCTGCTCTTGTCAACTGCTGCATGCTAGACTGGTTTCAGGTAAAAAGAGAAATTTTATTTGGCTTGTTTTTCTAATGGAAATGTAGTAGAAACATGAGTTCAGCCATTTCTTTAGCAAGTAATTCTGATTGAGATAGCAGCAAAAAATACTTTGGATTTTTTTAGAGTCATGCTTTAAATTGTTTACACGCATGGAATAAACCTAACTGTAATAAAACATAGTACTGTAGACATTATAGATTTAAAAAGGAATCGTTTTCTATTATTGCAAGGACTACCAGAACCTGTGCTCCAAAAAAAAGTTTGGAACTGCAACCTCTGTTAAAAACAAACAAACCAAGTAGTTTTCCCTGCTCTGCAGTAAGACTGTATTCTGCATATGACATCCTGAAGACTGTAGATACATGATTTAAAGAATATGTAATCCATCAGGTTTTAAAAGGTCCTGGTCTAACTTTAAAAATTCTTTTGAAGAGTAACAATCTTACACCAATATGGACATATTGAAAATGTGAGATTTTCCTTTTGGTAACAATGTTTCCTCGAGATGAGATTTGACAGGAGGCTTGAACTAAATCTCTAGGTATTTGAGTTCTTTCTAGTTATGTTATTATAATGATAATGCAGGCCGATTCTTTATGTCTTGGTATCTTCATCTATGAAATGGGATAAAGATTTTTTTTTTTTTATAAAGTGTTTTGATATTTATAAGTCTATAAGTCTATAATATAAGGTATATTTATATCTCTGAGTAAGAGAAGTGTTGATCCATTTGTCATAGACGTAGCCTGAAGATGCATTGGAAGCAGTTGCCTCTCCCTTGGAAGATGTTGAAATGTCAGAAGAAACTCAAAGTGGGTGTATTGATATGTGTAAAAGCTTTCATACATCTACCACTGTTTTATCTGATTTATACCACGCGGAGCTTCAGAGACACAACTATGTTACACCTACTTCATACTTGGAATTGATCTCCACTTTTAAAATTCTGCTTCAAAAGAAGAGCACGTAAGGATCAATGAAGTCCTTTACTAACAGAGCACAAGTTCACAAAAAGTATTATCTTTTTTATCTTCTATAGCTAATCTGAACAAAACAGTGAATTGTTTCTAGTAAATTAAAACATAATTGAAATTGTAATAATTAATACATCCTGTTTCCTCTGAGATTCATTGGAGGCTGCAAGAAAGATATGTGGGAAACCAGCTTCTGAGTTGCTAGGTGCCACGGTCTTGCTAGTGAGCTGCAGCTGTGCTGAGCTTCTTCAGAAAGGGTTTCTGCACATTTGTGCAGCTGTACTGTACGTTCCTGGCTGGTGAGAGGAAGTTCTTCTGCTTCCCTTTTGTTCCCACTGATTGGACATAGCCATACCAATTAAGATAAGTTCTGAAGTTCATCTAAAAAATTGCTGTGTCACATTGTACTAATAAAAGGATTTCCTCGTTTTCTATTCCAGCCTCACCTCTTCCCTCTTCTCTTTTCTCTTAACTACTCCATCGTAATTTTTGCAGTTCTTGGCACTCTGTTGGCAGTACCTTAATAACTGCTCACTTACCTTGCAGTGATAATAGATTTATCTATAAACCAATCTCTGTGTATGCATAGTGAAGCAATTGAAAACTGTGGCTCAAGCAATTCCTTTTACGTTCATTCATTATTTGTTGAGTGAATAAAACAAGCGTGATAGAGTATTTGATTACTTGATGTATTGAGAAATTTGGGGAATGAGCCCTAGTGAATGCAGCAGTCAAGTACTGATAAAATGTTTTTGTAATAAAGCGCTATTTACTTTCAGCAAGGTGATGGAAATGAAAAGAAGATACGAAGTTGGCTTGGAGAAACTGAACTCTGCTACATCTCAAATCACCTCGATGCAGTCTGAGCAGGAAGCTTTGCAGCCTCAGTTACGAGAAGCCAGCACACAGGTCGATGAGATGATGGTGGTTATTCAAAAAGAATCCTCAGAAGTAGCCAAAACTGAAAAAACTGTGAAAGCTGATGAAGCAGTGGCAAATGAGCAAGCTATGGCTGCCAAAGCCATCAAAGACGAATGTGATGCTGACTTAAGTGAAGCAATGCCTTATTTAGAAGTTGCTCTGGCTGCTCTTGACGCTCTCACTGCACAGGTACATCTAACTGTGTGTATTTATGCACTAGAGAGGTACTGTGAGAAACATAAGCATTGAATATCTACTTTGCAGAGTTTACGTTATACTAACTTTTTTTTTAATTTGTAAGCTTTTTTTTTTTTTGCTATATTTTGTAGCAAAAATACAATAAGACTGTTTTTGCGGACTGATCAAAAATTATACTAGACATTTCAAAATTCATAGCTGTAAGTGTATTTTGCCCTAGCTAGAAGTTAGAAAAAATGCGTATACTTTTAACTTTCTTATTCATATCTTTTCTGTCTGTCAAGTAATATTTTTAGATTTAGTCTTTTGGAGTCTAGGAATTCTGTGTTTCCTTGTGTTAAGGGAGTATGATATTGGGACTGCAAGTGGTCAACTTGTAGTTTTATGGATATCCAGTTTTGCCTCACCCGTGGTGGGATGAGAGGAAGTTTCCCAGACTGCAAAAGTGAGGGTGGACTGTGTGCTTCCGCTGTTGTGAGAAACAGGATTTTCGAATACTTTGAGGAAATCTTACGTGAAAGCAAATGTTTTGTTATCTATAGCTACTGTTGTTATCTAAAGTTTCAGATTAGGTCATTGTCAGATCTTTGGCATGGTTTATGAAAATAGTAAATGACTTCTTAGGCTCATGAAGGCTGTTGCGTATTTGTGAATAACGAAATGGGAACGTGGCTTTGAAGGCCAATTAAGTAATTTCTCAGCTTCTTTAACTGCCCAGTGTATCAAAAAAGGTTTATTATAAGAGAAGTGAAAAAAGAAGTAGGAACTTCCAGGGGGAGGGTGGGGGAGTAAGAGGTTTTTCCTCAAAATGTAATTAAGTAGCATGACAAAAACAAAAAAAAAAAAAAAATGCATGTAGGGGAGCTTACAGCACTTACGCCAGACTTTCTGATTCACCCTTAACTCTGCTGACAGCAAAGGCTGCCCACAAGCCCGTGTGCCTAAATGCACTACTAAGTACCTTTTTTAGAGTACTATGAAATTAGTATAATTTTTTTTTCTGTCGTTCATTCATTAATGAAAATACTGCATTTCTGGAGCTATAATCTGCCATTTTGGTAAACTCTTTTGATAGAGTGCGCTTGTCATTTGTCATCGTCCCAGTTACAAAGAGCTTTATTACATACCGATATCTCCCTCTTTTCAGAAAACGGCAGTTGTCTTGCTTTTCTTACAGTTATTCTCACACTTACATGAAGTTTCTTACACTTCACGTCGCTTTTAGTTCCTTTTAGTTTGCATTTAGTCTTTAAAATAGTATTTTACTCTACTTAAAAACCTCATCAAGTTTCCTTGTATTTTGTCCTTAATTTTATTTTATGGAATGGTTAACTTTGGTCTTTGGTTCTCTTAGACTTCCTTCCCCGCAGTTTCTATCAGCCTGTGTTCTGACTGCCTCAGTGAAATTCCCTGGCTTTATTTATCTGCTGTCCTTTCTCTCATTTGAACACTTGCACGGTTACAGTTGTTCTTAAAACAAAGCTTAAAGCTCCATTAACTGTTGTTATTTTCTTTCTATTTTCATCCAGTCTTATCATTTCTGTGTTTTTGTGGCATGAGTAGAGATTTCCAGAACGTAGAAGATACGTCTTTCTATCCAAATTGCCCAGGTCTTAGAACTCAAAAACAAAACTAAGTAAAACCTTGGTGAACTGTCAAAATCTAGCACCAATTGGCAAGATAATTGTGAGTCTAGAACTCCATTAATGTTTTAAGTACATTATTTTCTGAGAAAGGCTGTTAGAAAGAGTACTTGAATTGCCATGCAGAGTTAGTCTTTGAGAAGGATGATGTTACATAAATCTTTAGTTCACTAACCTTC